GAATCATTCATTCTTTTTATAAAGAACCTACTGAAAATGTAATTAAAATCGACTGTCATTTACAGTTTTGTAATGGAAATGAACTAATTAAAATTAAATTAACATAATAGAAAGGAGCCAGTTGATTTCCCATATATTCTTCTGTGAAAAGGATCTACCTGTGAAGCCAAACTTACTCAGCTCAGGCTACCATAACCAAAAACCCTAAACCGGGGGCTTGAACGACAGGCATGTACTCCTCACTGCTCTGGAAAGCCAGCACTGACAGCACAGACTGTGTGCTCTGTGTACACAGAAGAAGCTGGATTCAAGTTCCTTTGCTCAAGAACCCTGAGTAATAGTGAGGATGCACAGGGTCTCTCATGCCACAGGGACCTTTCTTAACAAAGTAGCTGGGTGTAAGGTGTCTAGTGGTGGTTATGCAAGTTTTGTGGAAATTGCAGTGGGGCCTTTGAGGACATTCTGAAATTGTAAATAGATTATTTTACATTAATTAACATATGTATAAATGCTTTGAGAGCATTATTTGAAGAGCACAGACATTGAAAGTAGCTTGACTATGAAAGGGAGACAGAAAACCTACTTCCTTTCTGCTTTAAACCAAGAATATTTTGGTTCCTAAAATAAAATCAGTAAATGCTATCAGTATATACACATATATGCATATGTATATGACTATAAAGTCTTATCGTTTATATAGAGTCTGTAAACATATGAACTATTTTATATATGTGTGTATATACATACACATATATATGGCCTATATTATTTAAAATGTGCAATCTTATTTTTACTCACAAAGAATATATAAGAATTGTATAAAATGCTAATCCTAGTTTTAATTGATTTGTTATCCTATGAACATTTATTTCCTTAATTTAATGCTATTATTGAGTTAACTTTGAAGACTCAACAGAGATTAGTTTCAGTTTTTAATTTTGTTTCAAAGTTTCAAACTAAGAATTAAAGAAATAAATGGAAACAATAGACTGGTTGGCATAGGAAAATAATGTTTAGATAGAACTGGTCAAAAGATTTAAAGTTAAGTTTAGTTTTTCAAAATACAGACAAGCTATTTTGTTCTACTATGCCTCTCTGAAATATTTGCAGCCCATTATATAGTTGAGTCTAATACTGTTGAGTTTTTTTTCCCCATTTTATTCCATCCAAGGACACTATACTTTGTCCGACAAACAGAAATAATGCAGATATTCAACAGGATAACTCTTGCTTTCATTGATTTTGTTAATTCTCTCAGCAGATACTATTTGGTAATTAATCTGATGTAGAAATAGAGGCTTATCATAATCTGCCTGAGAAAATTCTGTGTTCAAAAATGTGTGTTTATAGATGCAATATTAGATTAGGGAATTCTAGTGGATACTCATTTGAATTATGTCTGCTCTCCGCTGCCCGTTTGTTTTCCAAGAAGATGTTAACAAAATATCACAAATAGCATAAAATATGTACTTTTCCTCATTATTCAACACCCATGCAGTTCGGCCCCTAAATATCCTAAGACAACCAGAACTGTCCTGGTTAGTGATTGGTCAGGAACAGGCATGTGACTATTTGGGCTAATCAGAGGTAATCCAAGTATTACACAGAAGCCAACCCCTGGGAAAACTGATTCACTGGGCAGCATGATGTTGGCATTAAAGCACTATATGCTGATATGAAAGCCTGGTCTGATTCGGAAGCACCCTGGGGAGAGCAGGGAGCTGCCCAGTGCTTCCCCAGGGGCATGTGGAGCCTGAGGATAAAGCCAGTCCCCAGGCTGAGAGATAACAGAGATAACAGGCCTCAGTTACAAAGTCAAGTCCTTGATCAAACCTCACCTGAAGTTGTCCCAATTTATGACTATTAGGCATATCACCAGTACACCTTCATTTTTACTTAAACCAGATGGACACTTTTTCTTTAACTTGTAAAAAAAAAAAGACATATATTGAATGATACACATATAATGTAATGCAAAAGGTGGCACAAGAAAGTGCTTGCACATTTTGTTTTGCATCATGGAGTACAGAATAATATTATTTCCAATACCTTAAATAAATAATTAGGTGCAAATAGCCCTAAAATGAATAAATGCAAACAAAAAGATCATTTCTCTTTAATTTTTGAGTCAACTGATGAAGAGAAAAATAGTTCTTAATTTAGGTGTTCACTATAAATTCTATTTCAGATGAGATGCTTATTAGGGAAAAACAAAATTCAGTTGACATTCTTCCAGTGCCCCTTGTGATCTCTGGAATGGATTTCCAACTTTTGGCTATGGATCAATCACTCTTATTTTTGTGATTTTAAAAGAAGAAACACAGACACAGAATCAAAGTGTTGAGATCAAGAGAGAAGTTTGGAGGGAAGTAATCTTCAGTGTTGACAAGCTTCTTTTGAATAAGGCACAGAGCTGGATTTGGGGGATCAAGTAGCCCCCTGTAAAGAAAGGTCATCCTAATGGGAGACAAGCAAGGAGGAATTTTAATGGAGTCAAGCTGTGATTAGGGAGGCTCCCCCTTCAGCCAGTAGGTGACAAGGGAGAGACAGCTCAGGAGTAAGATGAGTTCAGAAAAATTGAGAAAGAGTAAGCCTGACAGGAAAGCGGGATGTGCGTTGGTGGGTGAGGGAGCCCTGCAGGCAGTGACACGGAGGGAAAGAGAACCATGGTGACCATGAGCCTGCACAGGCTTCCCATGCCCACGCTTCAGGATGGAAGTGAGCTGTGCAGGGACCTGGGGAGCCTGCCCTATGAGTAATGAGCCTTGTGCTGCCACCACAGAGTCTCAGTGGTGCTTGTTCTGAATATTACGGGGGGCTAACTTATGTTCTCCTAAGGGGGGACGCTGATGGGGCTTGGATTTGGATGGATCCCTCAGGCACTCATCCTGGAGCCTGGGAGAGCGTTTCCAGGGCTGGGGCAGACGGAATGGGCAGGGGAGCCTGATTCAAGAACCAGGTGGGACACAGAATCTTCAAAACCAGCAACTAATCAATCAGACATGGAGGCTGAGAGGAAAGAAGAAATACGAACCGGTCCCAGACAACCCACGGGACAGCTAGGGGATTGCTGCCATGAGTAACACGCTTATTTCAAGGAACTTTGTAGCCAGAAGTGCTGGAAGGAAATCCAGGAAATGCCGGGAAAAATACAAGAGGTTAATATGGGAGGGGCACAGCCAGGCCCCCATGTGTGGTCCCAAGCAGGACAGTGGGGAGAAGCCTGCTTTCAGGCACCCTGAGTTTTGATCTGGAACTCCCTGAAGGTGGGCAAAGGTCCTAGGCCCTTTGTCTCTTAGTGTCCTCATCTGTACAATGGAAGTCACAGCAACAGTCCTTGCCCCATTGATTTCTGGGAATTAAATGAGTCAATACGTGTAAAGAGCTCAGAGCAGTGTGGCATCCAGAATTAGGGCTCAATGGATATTAACTGTTTATTCTTATTTTATATTTTGGGCAACAATGTAAAAACTCCAATAACAAGAGTAATAGTGTAAAGATAATGAATCTATATAAAACAGACTAACAGGGAACAGAATGTGATAATCAATAGACTACTTAATGTTACATGTGTGGAACAAAGCTTTGATTTCACTGGGACAGGAGTTTCATCCAGATCTTAAACCATCTTGTTCAGTAATTGTCATTTTGGGGAATGTGGATTCTTGGCAACTCTAGGAATTCCTAGGATCATGTATAAAATACTGTATCTCTTTTTCTTGAGACAGTGTTCAAAAATGACATCTGAATCTCAGATAAAAATCATAACCCCAAAAAAGTGAGAACCACTATTTTAGGAGAAAGCAAGATGATAGACATTGACATACATGTGCCCTGGTGAGAGATAAAGATGATTTGATTCATGTTTACTTGTGTATTTTTTTTTTTTTAAATGAAGTCCTGACTCTGGGACTATCATTAAAACACAGAAAGATGGTATTACCAGTTGAATTAATAATATCCCTAAACCACGCTGATAACTGAAGAGATTCTTTGCCATGGGAAAAAAAAATGGGTTTCACTAAGTAAACAATTCATTAGTTGTATGGGTTATGAAATTTTAATTGCACAACTTTGCCACCTGCCTCTATTGTATCAGCTGGTAGGACCAGAATGGGAGGCATCACAGACTCCCCGTGACTCTGAGGGTTTACAGCTAAAGCGGGCTACAAATCATCTCCAGATGACATCAGGCGGCATTCTGTAACTTGAAAGAACAGACCGTCAGCCCTTCTCATGCAGCAACATGGCCAAGTGGCAGGTGCTAGACATTATCTCTGGGGTGATAAGCAGACCCTACAGGTGCAGGTGGAATCCCATATTTAGCTATGCCTGCCCGCACGACACGGCTGTGCTCCGTACCTTATGGTAGCTCATTCCCAAATTAGCAGTAGATGAAAGCCCACTGAGCGGGCATCCTAAACCCACTGTGTTAGCGCAGCGCCTTGTTTCACAGTACCTACTAAAGATTCCTGTTTCTGGAACAACCTCTTGAATTCTTCAAGAACTCACTGAGAGAGCTAACTCAGCCTTGAAATTTCTACAAGGCCTGCTTCGCAGGAGTGTGCCACAATCATCCAATCAGAGAGTCGAATGGAAAAGTAACAACAAAACTAGTATTTTCAATTGTCACCATCATCATACCAGGAGATACTCACTGCTTTTAAGCAACAGAATTGTCAACAGTTGTGTTAGTACAGCCTGGCTTCCAGCTTTTATCTTTCCTTTTGTTCCAGATTATTTTTGGTTATGTGTATATTTTTCCTTCATAAATATGCTTGGCACACGCTTTAGATTCACCCTCCTTCAGGTGTAAGATTGGAGCGCTGAAAGGCGCTGACTTTATACACAAAGTAAAGACAGCCCAGAAGCAGGGTGCCCGCCGCTGTCCACCACGCGGACCCCCTGCCCTCCCTCCTTGCCAAACCGGGCCCTGTGTCCTGACTGCACCATGCCCAGGCCCCACTGGATGAATGAAATGAAAGCGTGTGACCACCTACCCACACACCTTGGCAGAGGTGCACTCCACACACGACGGCCCCCACCCAGGCACGTAAGCTTGCTTGCACCTTCTAAGCGATACCCTGGGAAGCAGGAAAAAGTCAGAGAGTCCCCGACTCCGAAGTGAAAACCAATTCTTCGGCTGAAGGCAGGGACGCCGGGATCATCACAAGGCTCCAAGTCATATTCTGAGACATGAAGAGACAGAGTACATTTGTGGGAATTTGGGTACATACTCAAAAAGTATTTAGCAAGAATAAAAAACAGCTGTTAATAAAAAAACCTTATATATATATATATATATATTTTTCAAACTCCTCCGTAACTGTTATGTAGATTGTTTTTCTTGGTACTATAAGGTGTCTCATGATGAATGGCATGAATTATATATACATATATATATTGTTTTCATAGAGGTGTAACATTAAAATAAGATGACCCATTTCATGACTGTGACTTTAACAGTATGGAATTATTTTACTGCTAAAGGTAAAGGTAAAGGGCACTGGGAGAATCAAGTGTATACAATCAGGCATCAGTAACTGATCCTCGGCATAGATCAGGACCCTGAGCAGCTGTGAGCGACCAGTGGGACTCTGGAGCTCCTTCCCACACTGTCCCATTAGCATCTACGGAGATACTACTTGGAAATACATCCGGAGGGAAACACTGCTGTAGTAAAACCCTCTAAAGAAGACAGAAGTAAAGCAGACCAGCAGGAGAAAAAACGGATATAAAAGCATACTGATTTTATGCAAACATCTGAAATGTCCCCAGAAGGGAAAACGCTTCATTTGCATAGTAAAGTTGCTACTTATTTGGATACTTAAACAATAAACTCCATTGTATTAGTGCTACTGTCAATTGTTGGCAGCTAAGTTTCAAAGGCAAAATCCTTGCAAATGAAATTCCTCTTAGCACATCTAAAGAACAAGTTTACTTTAGCATTGGCTTGCTATCCCAGGTTTGTCTTTTTCTTTCTAAAGACTGAACTTTTGTGTGTGACACAGTATAAATAAGGTGATTCTTCTGCAAGCTTTACAAATCATTTTCCACTGGGTGTGTGCAAATAAATTATTCCACATGTTCAAAAACTGTTACCACATTACTTTTTAACATTTAAAAAATTTTTTTAAGTAGACTCCATGCCCAGCGTGAACCCCTGCATGGGCCTTGAAGTCAGAACCCTGAGTTGAGATCAAGAGTTGGATGCTTAACCGACTGAGCCACCCAGGTGCCCCAATGTTTTAAAATATTTTAAAACTGTTCCAAGGACCTGCAAAGACCCAGAGAAATGTGCTTTGTCTTGCCCGTTTTTGTTTGCTTGCTTGTTTGTTTCTTTAGGGAGTCTGTGGAAGAAATCAGTTCTAGTTCTGACCTTTGGTAATCCAAAGACTTATTGTCAGTTCTGTGCTGGGAGTGACAGATTTAAGAAACAGATGGTGGGAACGACACAGACTCCTGAGAAATATCTAGGGAAAAGACTCACAGACTTGCATCACGGCCACTTCCTTTCTTTTTAACTTTTAAGTGTTCTATTTAACTTCAGTTTGGATCTTGATGAAAGTGAGAGCAGAGGGAGCGACATTCTCACGGTGGCCCTAATTGAGATCCACCAGGAAAGAATACATAGAGGAATTAGGCATTAGTGTTAGGAAGATTTAAGTCTTTGTTACATAGAGCGGGCAATTTCATGATTACCCCTGATTACGGCAAATTTCCAAGAAATCAAGGCGTCTGAGCTCGTCCCAAGAGCTCCGCTAATGCAGTGAAATGCCAAGAAAAATCAACAAAGTCAGATAAAGATAAATGGAAATTGGTCGTAATTATAGGGAGTATAAAATAGTTTAGAGCATCTTAAAATCCCTAAGAAGTCTTTTTCTTTAAGACAGAAGTTCAATGCCTTTGTTGCTAATGATCATGCGATATTGAGTGACTATTAACTCCCTACCATGTATAAGTCACGGGAATACACCTGCTGCTGACAGAAAGGGGGAAGGCACAGAAACTCTTTGCCTCAGCGTTTCAGCGTTACAACAGGAGATAAGATAAATACTCATACTGTGATGAAGAATCTTGTAAGTGGCACTGGAGGCTATCAAGGAATGGATGGGAGCTTCGAAGTAGAAGAAATCACTGGTGATTAGGGGACTCAGGAACTATGTTATAAAAACAGCATTAGCTCTGGGCTATGAGGACTGAAGCAAAAAACACTCTCCTTTTCAAAGCATCAAACACAGAAAGGCAAATTTATGTGACTGTTTACATCCATCAGCATCTTAGAGCAGGAGCCCCCTTTCTGATGGCCAGGGCTCTATCTGTGCTCATGCAGGGACCTGACCATCATCTGGTCACTGAACACAGTTTATGTGATTAAATTTATCTCACACATGGTTGACCAGTTTTTAAGTATGTGTAATTTCTCCTTATCTATAAAAACACAGTGATACCATTCACGGCACCACTCATATCGAGCAATCTAACCTGGACAGACAATGTATGAAACAACAGACAGCCTGCACAAATATTATGTATGTATCATAATTAAAAATGTTAGATGATTTTGGAGGATGGCTTTGTCCCCTCATGATTGCATTAAAGGAAATGAAAAGCTCATCCCAGCTCTGTGTGTTCACCCTTCTTTTGCTTTTTTCACTCTAGAGGTGGTTCTCAAGACAAGTATTGGCATCCACTGGAGGACAGGAACCAGAATAATCAGATGACAGCTTCCCCTGAGACTCTCCCAATAAGGATATTGGCTCAGAAATTTTGATAGAATTGGTGAGGAGAAGTGAGTGAGAAGGGCTTTTCAGGAAAATTTAGTGATGTTAACAATCTTTCAGGGATGAGAATTTGCGAGGGTCATTTCGTGGATGCTGGGTCGATGTCTTCTCGTACTTCTTCCGGGTTGGTTCAGCCTCCTCTGCCCACCAGCTAATGCTTATCATTGCTCAGACACTTACCTGTAATCATGCACGTGCAAACGCACGTATGCACATGCATACACTCACACGAAAGGTAGTATTATTGCCCGAGAAGAGAAACCACAGAAGAGAACAACTTACCTGAAAACGTGATGTTGAAGCCCTCGTAGGAAATGGAAAAGTCTGATATGAACCGAAGCTGGGCGGTGAAGTTTCCAAACAAACCTGCCTTAATAGTATGAGGCAGGACAGACCCCGTGAGTCTGGCCACGGGCTCTGTGAAACTCCCATCCTCTGTGATCAGTAAATAGTCGTGGGAACTCTCAAGGTGGAAGGTGTGAAAGATCATCTGAACACCTGAGAGGCACAGGGAGAGTGAGAGGGGGGCAGAGAGGGAGGGGGAGGGAGGGAGGGGAAGAGAGGGAGAGGAAGGGAGAGCTATCAGTAAACAGCTGAGGAAAAATATTTTCTTCTAGGCTTAGAGACACCAAACTCTTGAATCAAAATGTAACCTTAATATGCAAAGTTTCAATATGCAAGTTAATATGCAAGTTTCAATATGCAAACTTAATATGCAAGTTTCAAAGGAAAATACAGAGAATGGATAGAGTGTATTTAGAAATGAAAGAAGGGGATAAATAGTCAAAATAAATGCATAAGGACATATAAGTACAGGTGTAGATTGCACATAGGGTTATAGGTATAGACAAGAACACAGACTCTGAGTCAGACACAGACATGCAAGTACAACATGGCGGCACGTTCACGGTAGACCGCACCTAGGAATGGTCACTAGGAAAGCATTTATCCCAGAGGAATAAAGGACCAGATAATTTTCCCATTTATATTTACAACTATCCTTTATAAAATCTTAGGTTGGACATCTAGCATATAAACTTATACAACTGAAGGAAGAATTCTTTGAAATCATAGTTTTATGTTCCTCTTATGCATATGTTCTCATATTAACCATACCAACAACGTATTAATGGATTCCTATGGTAGAAATAATAAAATTAACTACAAATAGCTCCTTTTAAATAAAAATACTAATTTTTATGATGACAAATTCTTGGTCACTCACAATTTGTTCCTTCTTTATTCTTAATTTCCTTCAAGGAAATCCTTTTTCTTTCTTTCTTTTTTTTCTTTTCTTAAGAGAGAAAGAGCATGCAAGCAGGGATGGTGGGGAGGAGCAGAGGCAAAGGGAGAGAGAGAATCTTAAGCTGAGCATGGAGCCTGACGCAGGGCTCCATCTCACGACCCTGAGGTCATGACCTGAGCCAGGATCGAGAGTGGGATGCTTAAACAACTGGGCCACCCAGCCACCCCAAGGAAATTCTTAACATGCATTCATGAGACATGTTAGCATAGTGTAATATAGGGTACATAATCAAATATGTCAATTTAATATCAAATTGAGTTCAAATCTAAGTGTAAAGACAATGTCTCCATGATATGTGATTAGAATTTCATTCTATTTCCTTAAAAATGACAAACTCAGTCCTACAGAAAAGACCCAGGGCACAGTCCTAAATCCAGGATTTATGAACTACATTTCTTGCACAAATTACCAATTTTCATGGCCTTTACTATACTTACCTATAAAATGAAGATAGTGAAATCAGCTCCATAAATCATCACTGGATTATGAAGATAAATGATTTATTATGTCTAATAATACTGAGTAAATTTAGAACCCAAGGCAAGTAGAAAAAGTCATCTTAGGGGGCGCCTGGGTGGCTCAGTCAGTTGGGTGTCTGCTTTCAGCTCAGGTCATGATCTTGGAGTGCTGGGATCAAGCCCCGTGTAGGGCTCCCTGCTCGGTGGGGAGTCTGCCTGGGATTCTCTCTCCCTCTGCTCCTGCACCTGCTCATACTCTCTCTCTCAAATAAATAAATAAAATGTTTTCAAAAAAAAGTTATCCTAGGGGCGCCTGGGTGGCTCAGTCGTTAAGCGTCTGCCTTCGGCTCAGGTCATGATCCCAGGGTCCTGGGATTGAGCCCCGCATCGGGCTCCTTGTTCTGCAGGAGGCCTGCTTCTCCCTCTCCCACTCCCCCTGCTTGTGTTCCCTCTCTCGCTGTGTCTCTCTCTGTCAAATAAATAAATAAATAAACTCTTTTAAAAAAAAAAGTTATCCTAGATTTATCATCATGGAAATGAAAAGTTTAGATAATTTCTTATTTCCTTAGATTTAATTGTTTTTGTGTTTTATCTAATGTATACCTCTTGTCCTTACCATCATGCCTGCTTTTCAAGCATACCTTCAAGCATACCTACTTGCATAAATCCAAGTTACCTGATTGAAAGTAAAACAAGGAATCTACCTTTATGGTAACATCAATCATTTTAGACCATTTTTCTTCTAAAATAATACAAAACATCAAAATTAACAGTTAAAATATATGTGAAGAAATTATTAACTCATTACACACACACTTTTTTCTTTGTTCTCATGTTTGTACCTTATTTATTATTCTGTACATATAAAATCTGTGTAATAGCCTTACCCTTTCCGTGAGACACTTCAATGGTCCATGTACAGTTTAAAGAGTTTGGGTAAAAATCTGGAAACCCAGGAGAAAGGACTGTTCCACTCTTTCCATGGATGTAACCTCCACAGAGGGCTTAAAACGATAAGGAAAATGATTGTTGTAGTATTAAAGTTTCACAGTGACTGCTAGAATAAAGTACTTTTAAAGTAACATTTACTTTGCACAAGGACTAAAGGAATATCAAATATCAACTCTAAGAAAAATAAAACAAAACCGAAACTTTGTTTTACTCACAATTATAATATGCCATAGAAAGGTTTTCTAAACTGTAAAAAACCTAGCGAAATAACACAGTATAAGGCAATAATAATGCAAAATAAGCTGGAGTGGAATTTTGTGTGGCAACTTGACTGGGCCATGGGATTCTGAGCCATTTCTGTGAAGATGTGTCTGGATGAGATTAACATTTGCATGGGTGGCCTGAGCAAAGAAGACTGCCCTCCCTAATGTGGGTGGGCCATGACCAATCAGTTGAAGGCTTGAATTGAATAAAAAGGCTGAACCTTCCACTTTGAACTGGGGTGTCAGTTTTGTCCCTCCCTTTGGGCTTGAGCTGAAATGCTGACTCTTTCTGAGTCAGGAGCCTGCCAGCCTTCAGACTCGAATTTACACCATCGGCTCTCTTGTGTTTCCAGCTTGTCCATTGAAGGTCTTAGGACTTGACAGCCTCATAACCAGGCAAGCCAGTTCCTTATAATAAATCTCTCTCCCTCCCTCCCCATTCCTCCCTTCCTCCCTTCCTCTCTCTCACTCTCTCTCTCTGCACACACACACACACGTGTGCACACACATGCACACACATCCTACTGGTTCTATTTCTCATGACAACACTGACTTATACAATCAGAGCTTCAGAAATGGTGCTGGTTTGCATTTTTTCGAGCTGCGGCTCTTAGCAGCTCTTCAGTTGATTTCAATCCTCATCAACAAAATCTGGCCTGTTCAAAATGTCCTGGAAATCCATTTTTGAAGGAAGAAAAAAAGCTATATATAATCATTTGAATGGGGAAGTAGAGACATTTAGAGAATCAATGTAATAAGGAAGATTCAGTTCTCTGTCACCATGTCCCCTCTATGCACACATGTATTCACGCTTCCTTTTTGGAACTAGGTAAGATTATCATTAAATGACTGATACCTGAAATATTTTTTCTTATTAATATGAACATCTTGAACTGTGTCTCCTCAAAACTAGTTACATAAGTAATATTTGCAGAAGAATTAGCTGATTTGTTGAAAGATGTGATACTTCCCATCATGTTCAGTCATTGTAGGTTTTAAGGGAGCAGAATTTGTCTTTGAATATGGAAACCACATGGGGAGAGTTATATAAAAATCAGCAAAACAGAAACTTTTTGAGTGAGTTCTGGAATATTTTAACAATGTAAGATTTTCACATCTCAAAATTACATTGACTCTACATTTCATTATGAAGGAGGTAAAATTAATATAACATTTGGAATTAATTCATTCAACAAATAGACACTGCCCTTGGCACTGGAAATGATTAACAAAATAGACAAAAATCGTTGCCCTCATGGAGTCAAAAATCCAGTTGAAGAAGAGAGACTCTGCCCATAATAATGTAAAAAGCTGACTATACATGATGTTGGAAGATGATAAGCACCAGGGTAATAAAGGAAGAAGGAAAGAAGAATAGAATATTCTCCGAGTAGTGTGGGGTGGGGGCAATCTAGGGAGGTGGTCGGGGAAGCATACTTGGAATGTGGCCTATGAAGAAGCACTTGAGACAAATGAAGGAGCCACTGGATACCTGGAAAGAACTTGCGGGGAGAGAAACGCCCAAGGACAGAGGCCTGAGTGGGCCTGTGCGTGGGACAGGTCGCAGGACAGAGGAGAGGGAGAGGCATGAGCAGTGAGGTTCAACACTTCCAGGACAGTAAGGGCCTTGTCCCTTGTGTGAGTGAGATGTAGGGGCCGTGGAGGCTCCTGTGTGGGCAGGGCAGGTGCTCACCGGCGGCCTCCTGGTCGCTGGTGCTGTGTGAGAATCGGGGAGGGTGGCAGAGGGTACGGCAGGTAGGACTCTTGCCCGGGTTGTGGCAGCAGACGTGGTGGGAAATGGTCAGAATCTCTCCATCGTGTGAAGGCAGAGCCACGGCTGTGTTTCCGTGACTGGGGTGTGTGCATCGTGACATGACTGTGAGGTCTTAAGCCTGAGTGCGAAGGAACTGAAGGGGAAGGGAGACTTCGGGCGACGTGGGTTCTGGGTGTAAACCAGTTCAGTTTCAGATCCATGAAGCTGGATGCCTCCCACATACCCATGGCAAGTGGACATACAAGTCCGACCAAGGGACAGAAGAAGAGCACACGCAGAAGTGACCATCGATGCGGGGCTTGTGGGTGTAGCTAAGGGAGCGGAAGCCCGGGCCCTTCCAATGGTAAGCAGCTCAGGGAGGTGAGGAGCTCCCACAGAGGGAAGGGGAAAGCACTGGCCATGGGGTGGGGCGAGAACCAGGAGACTGTGCAGCCCTCAATACAGAAGCTACATGTCCATAACCTTTCATCTGTGTGTGACTGGATCCTTGCAAGTCAGGACATCAGCTTCTCAAATATTTATCAAGGATTTAACCATAATGAATGAAAACCATTTGATGTAAAATTGAGATATCCTATATACAGTTATTTGTAGTAATCTTTACCTTAAAATCTGCACGTCCTGTAGAAAACTGGTAAAAATGAATTTCTAGCCAGCTACATTTAAAAATTATAAAATTCATCAATCTCTGCTTCATCCTCTGTCCTCATGCCATCAAAATGAAATTGATGATTATATACTGGGGAGAAGCGTGGAGGAAAGGCATCTGACCACTGATGTTTTCCTTCAATTCAACGCACAACCCAGAAATCACGAACTACCACAATCAAGCTGCCATTTAGGAGCAAAGTAAGAAAGTTATAGATAAAGCAAGTCCACTGCTCATTTTGAGTCATATACGTGCAAATGCAACATAGTCTAATTCACTCCTTATGAAGATTTTTAAATGAAAATCTTCTCATCCACACTCTGTTTTTACTGTCCGCGTTGGTCTCTGACTATATTCACACACAGACACACCTGCATTCCCCCCAGGAGAGGGACAGACAGCGCTGCATATAATCTGAATGACAATCGTCCGTTTCTTCCTGCTATGCAGAGTCTTTTCTGGATAGTTGTACAAACCACAGTAAACTTTTACGTTTGCTATCCTTAGGGCTACAATTTCTTGAATTCTACTTTTCTATTTCTATTCTGCACCCACTGTTACGGACCTAGAGACATTATCCTAGAACTCTCTTGGGCAGAGAACACAGGTGTAAGGGACTAGCAGAGACAAGAGAGGTGAACATCTATAGCAGTCTTGCCCAGGAGAGCTGATGAACCACCCAAACAGGGTCGAGTTCTGCCTTTAGCTCTCTGCTGACCCATCCACCCACCCAAACCTCCAACCAAAATAACTTCCAGAGGAAGTTCCTACTGTTTTCCAAGCCCTCCTGTTTGCTCTTGGGCACACAACAATAAGTAACTCAGACAAGTCCCTCTTGTTCCAATGTTTATGTCCAAGCGGACAAGGCAAATAATTCATAGAGGTAACTGAGCATGACTTTTTCTGAGAACAAGAATCTTTGCTGGTTCTCAGAACTCAAAGGCGGTCTAGGTGATTAGAGTACAGTGGGCTGGTGGGGCTGCCCAGTGATGGCCACGTGTCCATCTGTGCAGAGGTCTGCTCCCAGGGCGTGGACTGTTGCATAGGCAATAGAAGGATGGAGAGAGTGCAGACTGTCTGAGTCGACCCCATGTTCATGGATTGCTCTGTGACAGGCTGTGGCGGCCAGTGTACTGCAGGGTCTTTGGCGGGGGCCTCCTGGTGTCCTAGGCAAAGCCCACAGACTGCCCATGGATTGTGCGGGTGTCCACTTCCCATCACCTGACTCTCGCTTTCACCTGCCAGACCCTGGCCAAAGTCCTGTAATGCGTTCCAGTGTGCAGACAGCTATTTTGTAGAGCCCAAACCCTGGCTTTAATGTTTATTTCTGTATGACTACTCTGCTGGAACTAGCGTCAGGCAAGAGAAAAGCATGTAGACAACATACTAGGTGTCAGACCTTTTGCACTCGGGAGGCGATAGAGCCAGAAGAATTAAGAGCTGACAGATTCTCCTCCCTCCTGGGAAGACACCTTTTGTTTCCACAGCACCAGCTCTAATGACAAACCCGACAGATCTCAAATCCAAACGGGAATCACTGGCTTCCTTCTCAAGGCCCAGCTGAATTTCCCACTGCTTGCTAAGGCTCTCCCAACGTAACCTTTTTACAACAGCCCTGTCTTCATAAAGGCACCTGTTTCTCACCTGTCGTTCTTTCTGAAAGCGGTGCGTTTCTCTCTTGTCTGATTCGTGCCCCAGCTCCTGTCCTCCTGCCTCTTCCATAAAGAGATGAACAGTGGGAGCCCACAGTATCCTGCCTGATTTGTTTGTCTTTTGTTTTTCTCCACTTTCCTTGTTTCCTTTAAAGTGCTAAAAAAATTCTATTTAAGGCAAAAACCTAATGGGGTGGTATTCTATTTCCAATTATCCATGGACTCTCTTATGTCCTAAAGAGTTACTGATTTTATTCCTTCATTCATCCATTTAAACTAGAATTTTTCCCCAAAAGAAATTTTACAAGGAGACCCTACCAATAAAAGGAGGAATAATTTAGAGCTGCTCAAATGAAGCAGAGGATGTGTTCCAAGCCCTGCCATCATCCTCAGCTTTTCGTCACAGAAAGCTCGAGCCCCACTTTGGGAATATGGCACCCTCCAGTTTGGAATCTCGCCAATGGAACCAGGTCCATGCTCATAGGACTAGCATGAAAGACCTCTGAACGACCTTGGATCTTCCATCCATCCACAGAAAATGATTTCCTACCCCCCAAATCCTCCAGCCCTTTTACACATCCATGCCTGGTCTCCTACTATTCCCTACTTCCAATCCTTCCTCTCAAACTTATCCTTAAAGATGTATCTCCACACCTGCCTTCCAAGACTTTTCAAGATTCCAAATTGTAGCTATGATCCTATCCATCTCTTTATTCTCAAACAATTTTCCTGTGCCTAATAAAAACTTATTTTATCGGGTGATTTAAAAAATAAGTCTTTCCTTTCTCTATGCTATTATAAATTTCTCAACTGTGTGGCTGCAAAGACAGTAGTTTTCCAAAGTATGCTGGTGGAAAGAGTCAACAGTTTACAAAGATATTTATTGAATGAAGAAATTTTTCCAGGATTTTCCTTGCACTTGTCTTTCACCAAAAAAAAAAAAAGGAAACAATTTACTCAAATGTTCACATTATTTCTTTAAAACTTTAGTATGCTAAGCCATAAATAATAAAAATGAAGCGATGCTATGGAGATGTGAGAGATACTGATAGAGTTTCTCTTTTTTTCATGGTGATATAAAATATTATAATTGATTCTTATTTCTTCTTCCATTCCCATAGCTATGAATTTTTAAAGGTTCAAATATCATATTGATGTATCATTTGTCACAATAAAAACCCAGGGTGTTTAAGAGATTGCTTAAGATTTGAAAATACAACAAGAACAATTCTTATGGTTAAATGAAAACAATCAAGCATGACTGACTAAACTCTTCTATCAAACTCTAAAATCTCCCAATGTTTGCAAATCTATTAATAGCCTTTTATCATAAATTTATTATTATCTGAAATAGTTTCCAGTGAAGCCAAAGCAAAGCAGATAGCTTATGTTACAAATTCCTTTAGAAGGGTTAAATTTCAAATTTACATGCATTTAAGTGGGGAGAAAATAAAGGAGATAAAATGCATAAATCTCACGTTCTTTATTTTCTACGGAAAATGTCAAATATAGACTGTCATTTCTACAGCATGTCAGTTACTTGCAAAGCAGTAGGAACCCTTCTCTGTCTGTCCTCACTTCATGTCTCCTAGATAATTTCCTATGGATCATTTTGTTCATTTTCCATTCACTCTAGTTCACCAAACCTCTGGGAATTGGCAGAATGTGCCACCATGTCTATCTGGTCCAGGAGTGTATCCCTTTCCTCTACCTAGATACCACCTCTACAGAGGAGACTGTATTGAATGATTAAGCATATGTGGATATATATGCCATGGTCTGAATGTTTGCATTCCCCTAAAACTCATGTTGAATCTCTGAGGCCCAAGGTGATTGTTTTAGGAGGCAGGCCTTTGAGATGTGAGCAGGTCATGAGGGCTGAGTCTTGCTTTTATAAAAGCAGCCCCACAGAGCGTCCTTGCCCCTTGCACCATGAAATGACAGAGCCCTCTGCAGCCTAGAACATGGGCCTCACAACAACTCCATCATGCTATCCCCCCAACTTTGACTCCCATCATCCAGAACTGTGAGAAATAAATTTCTGTTGTTTATTAGCCACCTACTCTATGGCATTTTGTTATAGCAGCTTGCATGGGTTAAGACAGAGTACCTATGGTTATGTGGGATTATAAGTTTAAATTAAATCAAAGTTAAACTTTACTGAACTGCACATAAAGAGAAAAGCCTATTAGGAAAGTTAATAATGCTAGTGGCCTGGCGTGATTCCAGAAGAATTCTGGTGAATGTTGAGTGCATCCTGGTCCTGGAGGAAGGGGGCATTTGGGCAATGAAATATGCAGGGACACAGAGGGGCTAACCACTGCATGCATGGGTTTGCTTGAGGGGAAGAAGAGGGAAAGAATGGACAGGTGAATCTGCCTACATTGTCTGCGACAGAGGAGAAAACAACCTTGGCCAGATACTAAAGTATTTAAACAAAGGAAGTTACCCCTGTTAAATCAAGAGTACATGGAGAGTATTATTGTTCTCTCTTGGGAAGAATCCAATTTAAAATCAAAATTACAGATCTCAGATGGGTCAGGGTAAGTCTCTCTCACTTGCATACTTCCATTTTCTTTACCAGATCAGGAGTCTAGTTAATTGGACGACTGTTGTGTATTTTCCTATGATGAACCAGGTGCTTTCATCACAGAGTTTAAATCACAATCAGAAACCTCAACCTTTCAATCTTTCCAGCTCTGCCTGAAAAGTCTCGAGACTCGAGAAACCCCGTGTTAGCTGTTGCTCAACTGAGCCACCCCAAATGAGAATGTAAACAAGAGCAGAGCTTATATGTGCTCCACTCCTAAATTCCATTTTTAGCTTTAGTCTAAAATAAAAAATATTGAATTTGCACAGTGGCACCCAATAAAGTCATGTGTTCGCATATCAGGTAAATATTCCAATACAATTATTTATATGATTAACCTGCTGCAAGTTTTGGATTAAATGATTTAATAAATATTTTGATTGATGTTCAGTTATGCATGGATAACAACTAAGTACTTTAAGGGCTAGGTCTTTATCAGACTTTGTGTCCTTGTTATAATTATTGCCAATAAAGAACCTTACAAATATAGGAAATATTTCTGTGTACTATTTATGATATTCTCAGATTTTATAAAAGTTTAATGAGTTCAGTTCTGACACTTTTATTAATCACATGGGTAAATTTTATGTATTTTTTTCATTATTAGAGTTCCAATTACAAAAATAAAATGTGGTAATAAAAATAAACATAAAACAAAAAAAACCATAGAGATAGAAGTTGAAAGTCTCTTTCCCCCTCCCTACAGCCTGCCAATCTCCCCAGATGAGAGCATTGGGGTTACAGTTTTAGAATGTCTGTTTTCAGTCACTTCTGTGCATATCTTGTTAACGTGTCTATAATTACACACATGTATATGCTCACATATACAACATGCATTAGCCTGTGACTGCTATGTCTTTCCTCCAAAAAGAGTGTATCATTTCAACTTCCTAGCAATAGGGTAGAATGAACAGGCAGCTCCGTAATCCCACAACGATGTAGAAATTGAACTTTCTACTTTTTTGCAAATCTAACAGGTGGAGAAATTATCGTGTTTTATTTGCATTTTCCTGAGTCTGCATTGGAATGCACATATTTTTTTTTTTTGCACATATTTTAAAGTGTTTATGGGCCTGTTGTCTCCTTCTGTGAACAGCCTGTGTATGTGTTTTCCCCATGGATCTGGTGTCTTATGTGGGTCACTGTTTCCTTTCCATCCATTTGTATGATAACATGATTTACAATCACACACATTACCTGGACAGAGCAATTATTTTCTATAGTCTGACCCTTTTCCTTTACCTTTTTTTTAAATAGACCTTTTAATTTGTATATAGTGAAATCTGTCAATATTTTTCATTAGTTGTATTTAGATATCCATGTTGACCAACATCATTTATGAAATAAGTCATCCCTCAAGGACTTGTAATAATTTCAATAAATTAAGTTCCTATACAGGCATAGATTTGTTACTAGAATACCTGTACTGTATCACTAATCTATCTGAGTATTTTTGCACCGACTTCATATTATTTTAATTAAAGGTGATTTTTGGGATACTTTGATCCCAGAGAGAGTCCTTTCTTATCATTCTCTTATCATTCTTAAAAATATATATTTCCACTTGGAGGCTCTACTCTTTCAGGTCAATTTTGAACATGTTTATAAATTTCTATTAAAAATCCAAATTATTTTTAGATTTTATTGAAATTAAAACTCTGTAGAAAATTTGTATATTTAAATTTCATCCCTACCATCTAGAAATGTACTAAGTATTCCCACTTATTAGGATATTCTTTTGTATCCTACCGTTAACTTCTAAATTCTTTTAAGATAAGCCTTAAAAAAAAAGATAAGCCTTCATATCTCCTGTTAGATATGCTCCTGAAACTTTTAGTGTATATAGATATTATACTTCTAATATGTTGTATCCTTTGTGGAAATCCACTGATTTATGTTTTTCCTGAATGCAGTCTTCTACTAGTACTTACTGCCAAATGTGACTGTCTTCTCTTTATAATATTTATAATTTATACCATTTTCTTAAATTATTGGATGAGTTAGGATCTTCTGGATAACATAAAGCAACATTTCCAATACTGAGAAAGTTGTTCTGTTCTTGACTTTCAAGGGACTTTTTGTAATAGTTTGCTATTAAGTGTAATGATTTCTGTTGATAAATTCACTTATTTTATGGTTCTCTGTAAGCCATGCATACAACCACATTATAACATTGTTGAAAAAGTGTTACGGGGAAAATATGATGTTTTTTTCATAGAAACAATGATGTAATGTGGTTATATTCATGGCCAGAAGCCAAATCCCTTACTTTGCTTGCAAATGATCAAAGCAACATACTTGTGTATCTGGTTATTGTAACTATACACCTCAGAGCATCAAGTTGAGCAATACAGTATGATCATTCACATTATTATTTGTTTTGAGACTTCCAAGAGCAGATCTGTGCAGGGCAGGGGGAGTGGCTGGTACAACCAAGAAACCACTTGGGTATCTTCTGAGAGAATACTTCCCAGTCCTGCCGGAGAAAGGGTCCCCGAGAGGTGGGAGCTCAGAAGGAAGAGTGCTGACCCCAGATGATTGTTGGATGCTTGGACCTGGTCCAGAGGAAAGCCAGGTCTGACAATGTACAACATACATACTCACTCCCCTGTTTCACATGCTATTTTCAACAAATGCCACGTGGAAGAGTATGTGGTAACTAAGCTCCGTAAGTTTCAGTGTTTGGGGACAAAGTTGAAGGCCGGCCCATAATTGTTTATGTTGCATTCTAAACAAATGCTCTACCTCATAGGAGACATGTGCTAGGTAAACTTCAAGTGTTAAACGGAAATACTTCTTAAGGTGTACAACTTTTCATGTCATACTGACCCGTAAAATACCACACCTACCACCCAAACAATTTAAATATTTCCACATCTCTACATTTCTTTCTGATTTCCTGCTTCATTGACCTCCACCTACCATCACAGCTGGGCAACGCATGGTTCCACTGGTGGTTCCTCTCACAGATCAGGGGCTCGTCATCACTGAGTGTATATCCTGGATTGCAGCTGAACGTCACTGTGGATCTGATACCAAAATTACTGCCGTGCCGATGCCCATTCACAGGGATCCCAGGGTCGAGGCAGGAGTCCGACTCCAGGGTCACACCTGCACGCACAGAAAAAAATGCATTGCATATGGAACTCTGCTGGTTTCTAGAAAAAAAAAGTTTGTTCCATATACATATAAAATATTCTGAGACATCATCAGACCCGGAAGGGTATTCAAGTGAATCCAATAATATCCTTAAATGTAAAAAAAATACATTTTCATATATTTGACCCTGTTTTTCTGTGTAGAGAGATACGTTTTTAACTATTTACCAGATGACATGTAAGTAGTACAACCCTGAATGATCTCTTGATGTCTGAATTTTACTTCTCTTCATTTGAAAACCAGGGAACTGTACTAAATGAAGTCTGTATTGTCCTGTTCTCTAACTCTGGCCCTCCACTCCCCCTTCTTATTATAGTTTATGTTCCAGTTAGATTCTGGCAGTCATCACACTTCAACTTTCATAGACATGCACACAGGCACCCAAGTCCATACACATATAATGCAAATTAAAACCACACTGGATTTGATTTTCTAAAATTGCATTCCATACATCCATGCATTTTTCAAATTTGCACTTAAGTCAGCCACTTTTGAGATGGCTACAATTAGCCCATGCTAAAAGATGCTAAAAAGTAAAATGCTATAAAAAGTCAAGTGATTATGATTATGTCATTATAAGAGTTTCTTTTCTCCGTCTCTGAGATTTCTCTTTATTTTTAGAATATATATTTGAACAGATAAGGAAAATGGGAGTAAAGGAAGATGTCACTGTGATGGTTATGCATTCAAAGAAATAAAAAATACTTTGCTATAGGCTATACACAACTCTCTCAACAAGGCTTAGAACATAACAATTATGACTTGGGCTATTAGTCAAAAATCTGAAATCATTACAATATTCAGACTGCTTAGTCCCCCCTAATGATCTTTGGAATAACATTTCCAATCATTGCATAGATTTTACCAAAGCTGGAGTGATGTACCTTACCTTATAGCCTCTCTCATTAAGTCAAATACATGATATACAACTAAGGGGTGACTTTTTAAAAAGAAACAATAAGTGATAATATTTCTTCATTAATATAGCAAAATGTGATTCCATAGGCACCAGATCACAAGGAGGACAGCTGAGCCACCACTGAAGAAATGGGTAGCAAGGGATGTGCTTTCCAAGAGAAGTCTAGCTCCTAAGAGGTCGCCTGTAAATCCTTGGAATTTCTTGAGTGTTGGGAGTGTCTTTATTGTTCATGGTGCACTCCTGGGCCAACAGCTGAGCCAGAGTTCAACCACGTGGCCCATGATTCAATTAATGATGCCTCTGTAATGACACACCAACAAAATCTTTGGACGTGGATGCTCCAGTGAGCTTCCCAGGTTGGCAGGACTGTGCACATTGTCACATATCGTGGCTGGGAGGAGGTGACACCATTCATGACTCCAAGGCGAGAAGACAAGCAGAAACTGCAGGTAGGAACCCCCTTTCCAGATAACACCCTATGTGTCTTTTCCTCTGCCTGGTCTAATTTGGATCCTTTCCTGTAATGAATGTGACTGTGAGTATAATAGCTTTCAGTAGGTGCTAAATTCTTCTATCAAATTATCAGAACTGAGGGTCATTTAGGGAACACCCGGAACTTGCAGTTGGTTGAGAATTGGCAAAATAAGCAGATTTTGCCCTTTGCAAATCTGTGTGCTTAACCTCAGAGTTTGGTTATAATGGGCACAAAATGGAAGATGATCATAGTGAAGATTTCCAAGAGAAAAAAATAAAACAATGGAGAGAAAAAGCAAAGTAAAAAAATAAATAAATGTATATAGCACCATTTTTTCCAAGAACTTTTTCTTAAACATTCTAACTAATTTCCTAAAAACTAATATGTGTCTACTGCCTAAACAGCAGGATGTAACTATCATGACTTCTTGCAAAGTATGGCAGCAAATGCATGCATGCTTTCCTTTCCTGCATGAGATACGGTTCTGCCAAAAGCAAGGTGGCTATCATTTGTCCCCAAATCCATCACCCACTCTGCTCTGCTCTCTTTCTTTCTCTCCCACTACACACACATTCACATTCTAAGGTAATGTTTATGACCTCTTCCATAACACCTCAGAGATTATATGTAGTATATGCCCCATATAAAATGGGTACATGATACTGGCTGATAGATTAACACAAGAATTCCCTCAAAAGGATCTTTGCCTAAGAAATGGAGTGGTCCCCAGATCCCTGACAAACCAGTTAACTATATTATTCCACCTTGTCCAGTGGTTTCCAATGATCACTGAACAACAGTATACTCACTGTAGCAAACAGAATAGAAATTGTTATTTTAGATGGTGTGAGAACAATATATTCATGAATAATATTCGTAATAATATTGATAAATTGTAAGTAAACTTTTTCCCACATAAAATTTGTAAGGAAAAAAAGAGAAAAACATCAGAAGAAACCAAAGCATACAAATGTAAACATAGAAATCCTTACATGTAAAACTGAACTAAAAAATAAATACTATGTTGAAGTCATAACATTATTCCATCATTCATTCATTCATTCATTCATTCATTTTTACAAAATAATGGACAGAAATATTAGGTTGTAAAATGTGCGGTTATTGTACTCCTTTGCATTAAAATATATTTGAATGGATAGTATGTGTGAGGATAACTGTTGAGTGGTAGGATTATAATAGACTGATGACCAATTCACCCAAAACACACCATATGAAGGGATTTTAAAACAAGATGGCAGCAGGGAGAGTGCAGGGCAAAGTAGGCGACATGGCTCACTAGGATCAGACCTTTGAAATAAACTAAAATGTCCTGGGAGGACAGGTGGCCAATTTACTTTGAAGGAAAAGTACAAAGTACTTTGAAGGAAGAGTGCTTCAAAGCATTGTTTCGAGCATTTTCCCCTTCTTGTGTCGAGCCCTCATGACACAAAGAAGAAGTGGCATCGGCGGATTTTGTTGAAGCTTTGAAGAGGTGCCAATTCTGTCCTAAGTGTTCTTTCCTTGGAACTTAATGTGACTATGCATTTTTGACATAGGTGATATAAATCCACTCCTTGTCCTTTGGCCTGTCAAATACATGATTGAATAAATTTGCTCTCCATGAATAAAAGAGGTTGGTGATTTTGAAGCCATCCATGTGCAGATTATATTAATGTACATTTGATAGAAGTAAAGTTCTGCTTAACTACCTGTTTTAATACAAGTTCTAGTCCCAGGAAGGGGATGGAAATTCTGAATATCTTTTATCTCCCAAGGGTGGCCACTTTCCACAGGCTTCGAAAGGGTTTGAAATAGCAGTTACAGCCCCATTTTACAGAGGAGGAAATAAGCCAAGAAATTAAGTAAACTGGCCATGTTAAATTGTTCACTGAGATTCACAGCTCAGCCTTGGCCTGCTTTCTCCCTCCCCCTCACGTGTGCGTGCGTGCCCGTGCCCACAGCGTGGCTGATTTTCCAACTGCATGGCATCTATAGCCATTACATCTTGACCGGTTTTTCTGTTTGATCTCAAGAAATGGCATTAATATCAGAAACTAATCTGCATGTGCTCACACACACACACACACGCACACACATCCCAGAAAACATACTTCTTCATCTCACAATTTTTTTAAAATTGCACCGTGTATGAATTGCACAGTAGGATATAGACAATTACATGCAGTGACTCTTGCCTATTTCTCGAAATGTTTTTAAGATACCTTTGAAAACATTTCCCAAAAAATGCTCTAAAATTAAATGGAAGACATCCATATACTTGAGACATCCGGTTATTTTCAAGTTCCCTACAAAGTTGTGGTTTTTTTAAAGTGGTGGTTCAAAGCACTACAAACAAACAGAGCGAGCAAGCAATTATTCTGGGGGAATAATACAATGACTATTATATAAAGGAACTGTATCACATCCCTTATGAAGAGTAAAGTAATAAAAGGGCAGACTGTGATTGGACACTGTATTTATAAGATCGAGGATTTAAGACTCAGCACACAGAACAGAACTACAATTCTAGGTATGCTCTGAGGAAAACCTTCAAAAAATGACTTCGGCCCTTCAGCCTTACAATTCAAAAAGAGTCAAAATAATGCTGTTTATAGTAGCTCCCATTACCTTATAGCACCACAGCAGAAAGAAGTCAATCTTGAAGAGAGTGTGGCTATTTCTGCAATGCTTTATGTTTGTAGAGTAGATTTTCGTGTGCCCGTTTGGGCATGAAGTGGCGTCGTTAAAAGAATTATTTTTAAAGCAAGGAAGGTTTACAGCGTCAAACATTTATGACAAGATATGAAAGGGGGATGAACTATATTATTATTTTCAAATGGCATAAGGAACGTGATAGAAGTCATTTGGGTCATGGACAACCCATTTTTAAAGAGGCGTTGGATGAGCAATCCCAATTGTTTTCTAGTGCTTCCAACCTGAACAGATTTCTTCAAAGAATACTAGAAATGGTCAACATTTTAACGGGGCTGGTAATGTGTGTCTTCTTTGTGTTCTTCTCCTCTTCCTATTTCTCTCTGCTCTTTATTCTTCTATATTCCATGAGTGCCCCCCTGCACCTCCTCCCTGCCCACCTGCCCACAGACTCTCCCTCCACCTGGAACTCGTGAGTCAGGCCGGCACCTGTCCTGGCCTGCTTGGGCTGGGCCAAGCACCCACTGCCACCATCACGCCACCCCCTTGAGGACCTGACAAAAATCCAAGACTTCTGGCCTGCAGCACAGGCATACTGAATCCCAGTAGCTGGAAGGTGAACTTAGGAGCCTGTGCTTTGCCAGGATTCCCGGGTGAGTGCTAATGCACAATAACATTTGAGGAAAACTGCCCCTTCAGCATGCTTTCTAGACAAGGATGACCCTCTGAGTTGGTGCCAGGGTTTTCCAGAAGTACTTGGGTCTCCATCCACCCATGGCAGCAGCAACACAGAACATCTGAGCTGGTGTTCTGGCATCTGCTCCGTTTTCAAGCTGGCAGGTAATGGTTACCCGTAAGGCCAGCCAACAAGCGCCAACCTTTCCGGACTCATTTCTACAAGAATGCCATATTCTGCATTGCCCCTGCTTTTGCACATTTTCTTGTTTCTCCTCAAATACATAATAACTGATAAATGAATTGAGGTGATGACAAATCAAGCTTCAGGGTGATGTCCTTCCAGGTAATATTTTCCTAATGTACTTTTGATACTTTCCTTCAGAGGAATTCATAAAAATGCTTGGGGCCTTCTGGAAGGACCCCTAGGAGTTCCCAATGCAAAAGTCAGCATGCGTATTTAGACCCGTGTCCCTCCTGAGAGGCTGGGCAGTTGGATGCTATGGGGACCTTACCCATCTTCACCACCAGCGACGGTTCTGCCCTCTTTTGTGACTACAGAGTTAGCTCTCAGTTCTTCCTTTCAAGTAGGAGGGGGGAGGGATTCTAGACCCCAAGGGATCAGAAATGTCTGACACCCACACAATTATCACTCCGCAAATGCAGATGCACCAGCTTAGTGATGGCTTTCATCTTCTTTGACTGATACCCTGAACAAAAAAAAAGGCAAGGAGCACTATTGTCCGAGAGCTCACTACAGGCTATGGACGCATGTCTTTCTAAGGCTCAGCTCTACTGTCACACATAGGAGAAATGAAAAGAATCCTGAAACGTCACGTAGTCATCCATGTAAGATTAGAAAAATTATTGTTATAGTTATCTGCACATGATATTCTATTAGTAAGGATGACAAGCTAAATAGGAACTTGTGACCTGACTTTCTACCATTCTTCGAATCCCAGAAAGAATGAGGGAGAATAACCCATTTATTTAAACCAGTTAGGTGAGTAAACGCAATCAGTTTCTACGACCTGCATATAGGCTTTAGGACACATTTTTTTAAAGGATACTAGAAAAAATAGGCAAAATAATCTATGGCTACACAAATGAGGGAGAGGAAAGGGAAGAATGGGAAACTCTGTTCTAGTATTTTTTAGGGCCGGAAAATATTTATTCTCTTAAGCATCATCCAACTGGGTGTTCTAAAGGCCAAGGAGCTCCAGACTTAAGAAACCGGGGTGCGTTGGAGAGAGTATAGCCCTTTGGTCATCGGTGCTTAGGAGACTTGCAAATCCAATGGTTGTAATGTGCACATATCTCTACTCCAAAGAAAAGTAATGACTTGAAGGGACGTTAAAAAGGAATGAAACATGAAACTCTCTGGTTCTTAAATTGTATATCGAGTTTAAAAAATACGTTACTTTGAAATAAATGTTGCATGTATATGAAGTGAACCTAACTGAATTAAATTTGAAATTAATCATTAAATCATGAATAGTCAATTTTCTTGCTATCCAAACAAGTGTAATGTGACTTATTTTTTATCATGTGTATATGCATGTACATGTTTGCATGTAATTCCATACATGAGCAAGGGAAACAGAGAAATATACATAACAGGTTATTAATCTGAGTTGTTGGGTGGGGTTTGCACATGAGTAGCAAGGGGGTGATGTTTGGACAGGAAGGCAAGAAAAAAAAAACTATGATTAAACATCCAACATGTTAGATATGACCCCATTCATGAGCATTTGTAAAATTATATGTGTGGGTTTATGTAAATATATGTATTTATATGTTTTTAAATAACACTGAAACTTCATTTTGTTTGTTTTGGGATAAGACTGTGAAAAAGAACAACCATAACAATCTTGAAAAACAGGGTTTTGTTCCTTTAAATCCTGTGCTAGCCTGCATTCATCCATCTTCTTCACTTTACTCTGAAAGTGAGGCATTTTCAGAGGGAATAATGTTTGTTGGTTTGTTTAAAGATTTAATTAATTAATTTATTTGAGAGAGAGCAAGAGAGCCAAAGCAGGGAGGAGGGGCAGAGGGAGAGGGAGAAACAGGCTCCCCGCTGAGCAGGGCGGAGGGGGGGTCGATCCCAGGACCCTGAGATCATGACCTGAGCCGAAGGCAGACGCTTCATACACTGAGCCACCCAGGTGCCCTGGGTTTGTTTGTTTTAATTGGCTGGTGTTAAACACGTATTCCCAGGGTGAACCCCCTCAGCTGTATTGCAGAACTATAGCTGCCGACATATTACTATAAAATACTGTAATGACCTGACCTTCTCATTTCAGAAGCTAAGGTTATGACAAATTTGTATGTATGGAAACAGAAACAGGAGCGTTTCACATTGGGCAAGATACCCTGCATGGTCATATTTTAGCAACTGTTTTTAATTGTTTCTAATAATCATTTTAATCCTTGTTCACACTTGTTCACAGCAATAGTCACATGTCATTTCATGAGGTTCAGCTGTGTTTTAACTCCTCTCTGGTCTGCATTCCATGTTCTTTCCCCAGGGACACGTGCTCAAGTGAACCAACCAACAGAAAAGAACCATGATGGCGGGGCACCTGGGTGGCTCAGTCATTAAGCATTTGCCTTTGGAGCAGGTCATGATCCCAGGGTTCTGGGATCGAGCCCTGCATCGGGCCCCCTGTGCCATGGGAAGTCTGCTTCTCCCTCTCCCACTCCCCCTGCTTGTGTTCCCTCTCTTGCTGTGTCTCTCTCTGTCAAATAAATAAATAAATAATCTTTAAAAAAGAACCACGATGGTCGTACCCACATTTTTCCAGCAAAGAATTCCCTTAAGCCAGTGTTCAGGAAATATAATTGTAGCAATAGCGTCTCTGGCCAGGAGCTGTATTTCTCATGGTAGAAGTTTACCATTACATCATACAGTGAATGAACACACTATTTAATTATTTAATTTTATAATAAATGAATAAATATTTTTTTGGAGTTTTAAAGTAAAAACCCACAAGATGCTCTCTTATTAATAAGAGAAAGTGCTTATGATGGCCAATGCAGACAGAGGCAGTGAGGGTCAGGAGTGTGCTCAGGACCGGACATGTGTCTGGACGCAGGCTGGTGGTGGCCAGTGCGCCCTCTGACTTACTCTCGTAGTGAATGAGGAAGCCCACGCTGGAGCGGCTATTGTCGGTGCTGAACAGCAGGTACATGAAATGCCCCGTGCTGATCAGGAACTGGGGAGCTTGTGTGCCGTGGTACTCTCCGATCAGCGGGGATGAGTTGGCTGGCCCATCTCGGACCTCCAGAGTGTCATAGTTGACTTCCGTCTGAAATCTGTGGAGATTTGTATCCAGTCAGAAAAGCAAAGCTGCATTAACTTATATACATTCCCCAAATATCTTCATTCATTAATTGTGAACCGATGTATATCACTATAAATAAAAGATTTAGAATTTTACAAACTTAAAAAAAACCCAGGCACATATGATATTGAAGCATCAGTTTTTCTAGAAGAAAAGGTACAGCCTAAACCCTTCCCTCTTACAGAATACTCAGTCACGTAATATCCCAAGCACAAAAGACTGCAGTCTTTAGCTCTAAAATAAAAATACTGTGAACCAGGTTAGTTTTTGGAGAGATGAAGAAAAGAAGGAAGGAAGGAAGGAAAGAATGAAGGAAAAGAAAGGAAGGAAGAAGGAAAGAAAGAAAGAAAGAAAGAAGAAAGAAAAAGAAAGACCACTAAATTAAAAAAAACACCAATTAGTGCACAATCATTATGCATTTTCGAACTGTGTTTCATGATCCCCTGTTGAGCTTGATTATGGATACCTTGAAATGTGCACATGAAAAGATATGATCTCCTAAAGGAACAGAATAATTCAAAATACATGGCAATACTTCAAATACTTTTCAGGAAAAAAAAAAATCCCGTGCCTTTTTAAGCTGCATTAACTCTTTCTGGACACTAGAAGAAGATTTAGCACATTGCTGCTTCAGAAACGAAACGCTGCTTTAATGATTTGAACAGCTTCCAAAAAGTGCTTAACTTTTCTTTGAGAAGGACATTATGCTTCCAGAGAATCTGGCCTGATGTTATATTTATATACAGTCACAGCCACTTGGGTCCTCTTTGAAGCAATGAAGACACCATTCCAGGCACTGAGATAATTTTCTAAATGGGCCCATCTCGTCCTCAAAGAGCTAACCCGGTTTCCAAGTGTCCGGCTGTGCTCTCAGGGAGCAGCTTACGCCTTGTGAGCCTCTGATTCACTCAGCGACTTTCAGACTAAGACTTCTGTGGAAGCCTGTGTCATTATCCCCCATCCTCTGCATCAAATAATGCTGATGGAGAGGAAGAGCGAGGGCGAGTGCAGGCTCTCCTGGCTTCATGGCATGGAACCGCAACAAAATGCTGAAAGCATCGGGCTCTGCCCTGGTTCTCACTGAATCACATATACTCCTCTTCGAGCAAATGGAGGACGATGATGCCCTATTCTTGCAACTAACTTAGGATGGCCCTGTGGCCCCGATCTTCCATAGAGAACTAGAAACACTTGCCATGTCCCATGACTAGGTCCGATGGGGTAGCTTCCTCTTTCACTTTTCTAAAGTGTCCTCTAAAGACCCTGTGGTTTCTCAGTGATCTGAATTTAAATTCAAGAGGTTTGGATAAAGCATGAAATAAATCTCATTTGAAAAATTTGTGCTACAGTCTTCACCTCTTCTTTCTGGAACAACAGCTAGGGCAGAGAGAGTGCCCTTCCCAACAGCTGGGAGAGTCCGGGGCAGCCTTGGAGAGAGAACTTACATCCTTTTCCATTATTTGGCAACCTGATACACTTTGTATAACAATATCATCCGTAGGGACTTTTAAAGTCCTATTTACAAACACATGCTTTTATTAGGATGTCAGCCCTCTGCTGGAGACATAAACCTTTAACGAGGAGTGTGATAATCACAAATGCCTGAGAATATCAGAAATACTGGCTCTTGTAAATGGAATTCAGCAAAATAATACAGTTCCACAATCTTGCAAAGACAAGATGGAGAAAAATTATATGTCTCTTTGTTCAGGCAACTGAAAATAGAGTGCTAATAACTTGTACCAGACCAGGATGTAAAGTCACAATTTTTACTAAATGATTTACATTCGATGTGATGCCAGGAATCAGGAAGTGCTTTGCTCTTCCCCCTCTCAATACCAGAAAGTAATGAAAATTAATAAGGAACCCAACTTAATTTACTGACTATTATAGAGTTAATTTTTTTCTCAATGATTAAGTTTATATGCAAGGATCCATTCTGCAGCATATTGGATACATAAGCCAAAATTTTTATTTTATTCTGAGAGATTATCCTACTGGAGATTATTATGTTAGTAGACACAATAAAATGAACAATTTCAAATACAAATAATGCTAAATGATAATGCAACTCCCACTAAAAATCTTCCTGTATATATTATTATTAATAGAAAATTAGTGGACAACAAACAAAATAATATAACAATGTTCATACACCTTGAGACACTGTAATATCCTGAATATTAAAACCCAGACTCTTCTAGTCAAGAAGAAGTTCCTTGTTAGAGAAAGCTTATGTTGCTCGGAGATTAAGCTTAAAACACCAAACAAATATGTCTCCTTCTATTTTAAGGCATATGGCTTTTTGAAAACATTTTTGGTTGTTAATCATCAAAGTGATTTTATTGCGGAGACAAATGGAAACACGTTTTATCATGGAGAATTCAAATAGCATGATTATTTTTTAAGATTATTGAATTCATCATCAAATAGCGAAGCCAAACAGCAATGCAGTGATAGAACCACTCATAGATCACCTTTGTCACACACCCTGGTTTCAGCTCTGCAATCACTAGGACATGACACCATTTTCCTGGGCTGTCCCAGAAGGTACCTAAGGGACCACACAGGCTTCCAGTTGCAATCAGAGTGTATTTTAGCCATGGGTCCAAAACCCAGAGGTGGACACAATGGCCAGCAATTGTGAGCTCTGAGGAATGATGATGTGGGATATCCCCTCCGTGAGGCAAGCCTTTGGAGAGGACTTAGCTGCAGCCCTAGAGGGTCAAGTTCAAGAAGAACAAAACTTATCAAGCAAATGCCTATTTCTTTTTAAGTGAATTCCTTTGGGGGTACCAACCAAGAACTGTCCTATTTCTAAGTCTCACTATCCACTTAAGTAAACACATTGGACATGCACGGGTCGTTAGGTCCAAATTAAGGAAGAGAAAGAATGTCTTTTTCTTACCTATCAAAAGTTATTTTGATAGAGTGTCCTGGTTTTGCTTCAATGATCCATTCACAATTTAAAGAGTCTTTATAATATCCTGGCCATCCAGGAGGTAAAATGAGTCCACTGGAAGCAGTCAGGTGTCCACCACACGGGGCTGAAAGAGGGTTCAGGTGTCAGCAGATCCTAACGAATACGTGGGAATGCACCACAGCAGTGCCTGCGGTGGCAGGAATGTGCTTCTGTCTTCACAACTTCCTGTTTTCAAGTATTCACACTAAACATATTCCCAAGGACATGGCATTTATTGAAAGCAGAGCACATCTATCCCACATCCAGGCATTTATTCTCAACCCACAGCAAAGTCCCTATGATCTGAAAAGGTCCAGGCATAAGTGCGAGATGAATGACTCCCATAAATTGTCACATCCAATCGTCATAACGAATTCATGAGTGCATACCCTTGATATCCATATTTCATATGTGTCTGTAATTCCACAAACATCTATTGATTAGCAAACAAAATTGCTTCACACCTGAATGGAAATACCCTGTGGTGTGTGTGTGTGTGCATGCGTAGATACTATATTTCGATGATGTGTGTTGTGCTTATTCAGTTTGCATTGTGTTTATTTTATTAACATGACTTGCCACCTACATCATACTAAATTATTAGTGAATGTTAGGGAACAAAACAAAATTTCCAAATTCAATAAACATAGAACAATCTGCATCAGTCCTTTTGAATAATCCATAATTATAAAGAAGAAAAGAAGTTTCAGGAAGGTATGTGCTTGGTGCTCAGGAAAAGGGGTTTTGCATTTCTGTATAATCTACAGGAATTTTTAAATAATGACATATATTTAATATGTTTCTTCCCGGCCACATATTTTTTCAGTTTTTTTCTTCTCAAAGTTTTTTTGCCATCTTTGTAATCAAATTTGTAAATGTATAGATATCAAATAAAACATAAAAATGTCCCGAGTTAAAAAAGTCATTTTTGAAAAAAATATGCCTTTTATGGAGAAATAGCCATAATGCAATAAAATGCTGAAAAGTTGTACACCATTTCAACCAGGTTTTGATGCTGAAGAAAAACATCTAACAGAGAAATCTATAAAGGTAATTGTGGTGGCTTCATTTAGAATGGAATAATAAAAGGAAAAAGTAAACATTTATAAAAAGTGTATGACTACATATTGGAATGTCTCAAATACATTTGAAATAATGTTCTGAGATTTTATTACTTTGAGTAACTCTTTGCGATTAGAACATTACATTATGCAAAGCAGGATACGAAATGATAATAAAGCATATTCTAAATTTAATAAAAAAATGGTTCCGAGTAAAGGGGGGGTGGAATTTCAAAAATATGTTAATGATGGATAACACGGACGATTGCTGTGCAGATTATGTTTTTCTTAATATAGTTTCTTTTCTAAATCAACTGTGATAGGTGGGCATTATGCCTAGAGTTAGATATAACAGGAAATCAGAGTCATTTTGATGACCTTGAGTTCTTGAAGAAAATTTTCATTACTTTATGTAATCATAATTTTAAAAACAACATATTTTTACTAATTAACATGAGGAATTTTTTCTAGTTAAGTCCTTCCATTCATATTTTTAGCCTTTATTCCTATGCTTCTTGACATGTTGTAGCAAATCCTTTTTAGAATATGACATAAGCAGACATGAACAGACATTTTTCCAAAGAAGACATCCAAATGGCCAACAGACACATGAAAAAGTGCTCAACATCGCTC